GACCTGAGCCATTTCTGCATGAAGATGCTAACATGTGTGTGAGCTAAAGCACAGCTTGTAAGATCCATGTTACAGCCTTGGTAGAGCACACAGAGCCAAGAGGAAATTTGAGCTGGCCAGGTTTTTTGAGCTGACAGCTCCTCAAACCAGAAATGTGTTTACAAACAGCAAAGATTTGGGGCTGAACAAGCAAATGATGCTCCTAGGATGAGAGACCCTAGAAAGAGGAGACGTGACCATCTCAGACATGGAGGTGTTTTCTCACAGGAGCCACCCATGAAACACTCAGAGAAGAGTTTTTCATTGCTTTAACATCTSTRCTGGAAGCAGGAGTCTGCTAAACCYCCTGGAAAAYRGCAAATGGCASTTCAATGCAAAGGCTCTCCAAAGACCTCGGTGAAAGGAGGAAAAGAGAATATCCACCAAAGCACAGTGACATTGACTGGTATCTTCTAACAGAGCTAGCCAGATTCACCCCAGCTACCACCAAAATACAGACTGATTACAGAAATGTCAGCACTATCACACCCCATCAGAGCAGAGAGGCTGCACTCAAACACATATTCAAGCCAAGACTCAACCCTGGTCTTTGTACCCAAGGGCTGCAGCATGTGTAGCTCCTGTCATGCCCAAGGCAGAGCACTGTTCCAGCTACACACCCACTAAAATAAGAAATCCCTGGATTTTGTTTAGGTTAGTGGATGTTTTCCAAGAGCAGTGGAGTAGTGTAGCTTGCTTTGCCACCTCCAGCAGTTTTTTCCACCATTCCTCCACCATCTACTCTAGGAAAAGGAATTACACAGCTTCACTCTCGGAAAGAGAGACTTCCACAGGCACCAGCTGTGTTTRTAAGTTTGTTATTGGAGGTTCACTGAGCAGAGCCTGTAAAACAGCTCTCCAGAAGAAAGCAGATCATTCYATCTCTTAAAAGTAGCCACTATCAGCACCCTGAGATAACCACTCACCCCCTAGAGAAGTTATCAGACAGGGACCCATCAATTCTGGGTAAGCAATTCCCCATGAAGGGGGCCTGGAAATACAGTGGGACTCTGACTTCATCCTCACAGACTCAGAACCAGAGAGGTCTGTGCTGCGAGAGCACAGGCTCACAGACAAATCCCATCCATATCCAGTTACAGTATATAATCCCCAGCACCCCCCCAGGCTCTAATATAGTGCTTTTCATCCACTTGTACACATGAAGGCTCATTCAACCTTTTTTAAGGCCTCTTATGATTTAATAATATTGTAAACCATAATGGGAGAGTTTCCCTTTWTATAGACTTTGCTATTATCCCTGGGCAGCTCTTGTTTAGTTTAATCTGTTTTATTATTTTCAAAAGACTAACAACGAAGCACAACATGTTATGAAATAGAAATGCACAGGATAATAATGGTAATTTGTTATAGCAAGTAACACTTAATGGAAAGTCTCAGAGCATTCCCACACCTCATAAAACCCTCACAGTTTTTACAAAAGAAGGCTCACATGCAGATTTATATAAATTAATCCAATATATAAGGATGGATTAAGTTTCCTGTGATGATCTTTTCCTGTTCAAATTGTGTGTTAAATATGGCAAACTTTATGCAAAGTAATATCCGAATTCAGCGCATGGTGGAATCTCCTTATAAACTCCACAGATGCAAGTACTGCGTGCCAGGAAAATGAGCATTTGCACTCCAAAAGAGGTGCAGCTGCATCAGTGGCAATAATGGTTAGAGCTCTACGTGGAAACAGCTCAAACACTAATGAAAAACCTGTAGCAGTAAACAGAAAATAAACCCCTTTGCCGTGCTGTTCGTGCAATGGCCAGTTTCCATTACAAAGTGCAGATTTGTGCTGATAATTTTTCCATAGTTCAGTTCAATGCCTAAGAATCAAATGGACAATAAGGTTTAAATGGTTTGTTCCTTGATTTGCAAAAACGGCGATGGGTGAGKAGAATGAGGCCACATCAATGCCCAAGCTCTGCAATTCCCTCAGAGCACAAMAATCACTTACAAGAGCACTGGTTAAAGTGCAGGCATTCAAATCAGGTTATTGCTTCCCAGCTCGGCAAGGAAAAGACAACAGAAATCACAATTAGACTGGGAAGAAGCAGCACTTGAAAGTGGCACATGTGCCAGGGC